TATGACTACCTACTTATTTATAATTTCATGACGAAACCACGCACCATCTGCTTCCTCTTCTTCAGTTTTTCCAGCACGAATCCAGCCGCTATCTTCGAACCATCGCTTCTAGTTAATTAGTGCCTAATTACAATCCACACTTGCGAAACTCGATCTCCGCTGATAACCTTTATGAGTGCAAAATTGCAAATGCGAAATTGGTAAAGCGTGTAATGAAAGTAAATTGAATAGGCGGATGTTTCATATTGGTTATTTTGGGATGTTCGCCGTTTATGAAAAGTCGTTCTGTGTATTTTCAGTTTGATTTAGATGCGTGTTTGGAAAAGCGTAGCCTAGTTTTGCATGAAGTAGGAGGAAATCAAGACAAAGCTTTTACTTGAAAAATTAGCGGAATGTGAAGAGGTGTGGTGAAACGAGGAGAGGAAGAGCAACGTTACAAAAGTGTCAAAGGTGAGCCTACAGATGCTTGTCCAAGGTGTGAGACGAGCATGAGTTATTAAGTGTGTCGGTTATTGAATTATTAATTGTCGGCTGTGGGCAATGTTATTAAGTTCGAGCTACTGAAATACGCCAAAACCGAGATTTGTTTGTTGGACGATTAGGTGTCTTATGAATTTTTATGTGTGGTTTTATGGAAAATACCAAGACTTGATTGGCGTGGTGTACAATAATCAAAAATGCCGTGGATTTTATGTTCCATTCTTACTTAATTTAGTTCTGTGGCGATTCCTTCCATATGTTGAGTGTCGTGTCTTAACTAAACGTGACAGTACACTATATACATACATAAATTATGGCTTGTTTCGCTGATTTAAGTATTTATTGCAGGAATAGCAACCGTAAATTTTGCAACGAACGTAAACACGCAATGTTTTTCTTTCCCCGATTGGACTAAATTGGAAATCTCTAATTATAACAGAAAACATAACGAGTGATTAAAAAAACCTGTAGTTACAAGTTGATCGTCTTTTTCTTTGGTCACGTAAATCAGAGAACCACCAAATGAGCGTAGATGCATTGTCATGTGTCACACCTGTCGTTTGGATTTCCGTGTTTCGATAAGTTGCATTTTCATGAAATTAATTTTAAATCAAGTTTGCATTACGCCACGTTAGAACGTCACTTTTTTGACATAGCGAGATAGTGACAAAACAAATGAAGAGTAACTGGAGGATTTAAGGAAACAAAAACAAATTTAATTTTCTTTTAAATGCCGCCGGTGATGCTGGTTATCTGTACGTGCTTAATAATCGAATTCTTTTGAAGTGAGTGCATACCTAAATTTTCGAAGTTAGGCAGGTATTGACAATACAATTTTCCCATTGGATATTTGCTTTAAATATAGTTCATATTGTGATATAATAACCTTAGAATAAAAAAATGTTTTGAAAATTTTAATAACTAGTGCAATTATATTGTATAACATGTTCCGTCATCGCGTCGAAATATCTATATGTTTGTGATATGTTAAATTTTTGGTCCATTAAACGAGAATAATAAGAGATTGGGTTTTTGCGTTGTTTACAAGTTTCTTAGTAAGACAACATTTTCATTATGATTGTATTTTTTTTTTATTTTTTCCTTCCCGAACGTAAGCTAACAGGACGAAAAAATAGGTTTCCTGTTTCCGTCTGTCCGTCTATCGGGGTGTCCGTCGTCCTTGTCGATTTTCGTTGATAGATAATTTTCGAAACTACTGCATCGATTGTGTTCAAATTTTACACGTGTTTTGTGAATATCGTGTAGATGGTAAAACGTTGACTAAACCCTGTCTAGTCATCCCCACCAATCATGTGATGACGTCATTTCAAAATTGTACATAGTAAATATGTTTTAAATTTCATAAAATAACATACTTCTACACATTGGTCTGAATGCGCATTGATTTTTACCCGAGACATCGAGATTTTTGGAAAAAAAATCGTCTAGGGTTATTCAGACAGAACTTGCCTCGCCCCTGGAATACAACAGGTGACAAAGTTAGCTTTATCGAGAGATTATAAGATTTAATTCTATGACTTTTATTTTTTTTTTGTGATAATCCGTGTGAGTAAAAAAATGTGCATGTAATCTTAAAGTAAAGGTCAAGAAGCAAGCTACTTCTGTGTTTCAAGTGAATGTTTCCATTACAAAATTTTGTGATGTCATCAACATTTTTGCAAGGACGCGTATATCAATTTGGATAGGTCCAACGTTGTAATAATAATAATAATAATAATAACAGTATTGTGTTCCCAAATTTTGAGAACAATTCTAGTTAATAGGTATTCCGTAAAATTTTGAGATGACGTCATTCATTTTTTTGGGAGGGAGCTAAAGTAATATATTTTGATTAAAAATTTTCCATGCTTAATTTTGACTTTTTTTTTCAAAAATTTGGATATCGGGTAGAAATTCAACACGGATTCATAAACTACACGTATACTATATACCATAGGAGTATGTTGTTTTATAAAACTTAAAACCCTTTTACTATGTGCAATTTCATCACATTGTTGGTAGGGATGATCAAACAAAATTTAGTCAAAAAGCATTTACAAATGAACGGTTAGCAAGACTACTTGGTTTTTATTACCACAATTCTCGAGATCCCCGTGTAGGCAAGTTACTCTGAAAAAATCGGGATGTTTCAGTCCCACGAGACATTAGCGGTCACAAATAATCTTCAGACTAAGATTTTTTAAATTTTTCAAATTTCTTTTATAATTCAGCTTCTTAGTGACACCAATAAGTAATTTTTTAAATTACATTCACCTGAACGTGCTCGCTGCGCTCGCTTTTTAAAGTTCTTTTTTCAGCTTTATTGTCATGGAAGTATGCACGAAGTGTCTGGGCGAAGTTGTTTGGGTTCTGATATAAGAGTAAATCTCCAGACTTGTCGATCTCCCCTTAGCTTTTAGCTTAGCACATAATCACAAACATTTTTAAGATTCACCGTTTTTAGACAAGAAAAAATTCTTCTTTAAATTTTATTAAAATGATTTAGCTTCTCAGGGACAGTGACGAGTAATTTTTAATAACGCATGAACGTGCTCGCTGCGCTCGCATTATTAATGTTCTTTTTTAAAATAATGCGGTCTCATAAGAACGTTACGTGAGGCTGATTATTACTAAAGAAACCTGACCGAACCTGACCTGATCCTCCGTGACCTCACAGATTATTGTTCTGAACATGAGGAAATTACTGTATACATTTTTTAGATATCTGATATAAATTGAAAATAAAGTTGGTCACTGGACGGAACCTCGTGGAACTCTAACTGGAGTAGATCGTACTTGTGACACATTTTTATATATATAGCTTTGTTGCAATCTGAAATTAGTTTGTGGCGACACAATGTAACGTAGAAAGTGAGGAGAGATATTCACGACGCCTGATTGTATAGTGGTCAGTGCACCCTCCGGATGCACCCCCACAAGTTCGTCGGATGCCCCTCTGATTCCATAAAACTCAAGGTTATGTAGTACTAGAGTACCATCTACCAGTGGCGGCTTGTGAAGTTTTCTTCCGAGGAGGCTCAAATTTGAAAAGCACTACTTTTTATATCTTTTATTATCTGAATAATGTTTTTCGTCATGCCCACGAAAAGAACACTCTTGCGTTGACAGATAAATTATATTGCATCGATTAGTCTTTTCAAAATTGCCCAATTTTCACCAACTTTCTCGTAATAGTTCTCCCTTTTATGAGCCGAATCTAAATTATTGGCAATGTTTTGCTTACCAAGCATTTCTAATTTAATCGAAGAAAATATGTGTTCCTGTCATTTTTCATGCCTTTCTATAGCTCGTGACAAATTTTGTAAATTATTATAGCCTGTTTTACCCCAAGCGGAAGATGTATCACTTATAAATAATACACAATTCCAACAGTATAATTTGTTTCTTGAAACCGAAGCCGTTAACTATTTAGTTTTATTATAGTTATTTTCATGAAATGCTCTGTTTTGTTTCTAATTGTAACTGTCAATACCATTAATGGGAGTGATGGTGTTGGTCTTCCCTTTTATACCCTTACCTACGTAAAGCCTAAACGCCACCACCACTGAACAGGGAGCTCGCGAAACCACCTCAATGTTTTTCCTACTTACACCCGATTGCTCCAACTAATAAGAAAGAGATAAAGTTATCTGTACGACTTGATCTGAAAAGAGATGAACTAGCCGGAGGCTAGCGGCTTGGAGCGGCAGTCCGATCAACGTTTTAGCCAATGCAATAGAGACCGACGATGCGTCAAGGTTAAGGTCTCATTATTCAGATGCATCGTCGTTCGGAGGCTAGCGGCTAGCAAGCCTCTGCCGCTGAAACCAAACGCGGAGTGGTGTGAATGTGAATTATGATTGTGAGGGCGCAAATATAAATTTTTCCGACAATTTAACCTGATATATGATGAAAGTAAATGAAATCCAAGAAAATATTCTGAAAAATAACAAATGTCTACAAAAATATAAATTCTTTCATCGAAAAAAATTAGAGGAAGCTCAGCTCCAAAAAATAGAGGAGGCTCAGCCTCCCCTGCCTCCTCTGAGGAGCCGCCACTGCCATCTACGTATTCTTAATTTTATTTTCTAACCACAGGTTGAATTTCAAAACCTTATTAAAAAAAGTCTTTAGTTAGTGGGCTAACTTTTACAACTTATAAGTATTAAGCGCTTCAACTTTTAACTTCTTGAAGTCGATGAACCATTTGATACTTACATTTTCTTTCGTATTTTTCATTTTAGAAATTGCAGGACGATTTTTACGACAACATCAAGTAAATGTTCTTATTTGATCGCTCGGTATTTCAGATGGCCAAACAGGTCATGGATTAATTGCACTAATTCCAACCTTGTGATGTACAAAGGAAGTCCTGGGGTCAATATATCACAAAAGAATTTAGATTAACGCATGTATAACATTTCATTGTTCTATTAATTTAGCATAAAGATAAAACTAATCCTGTCAAGCTACTAACAACTAAATAAATCACGTACGCTTCCACTTAATTGAAGTCACTTTGACATTGGAACAAACAATAATTTCCAATGAAGAGATATAATCTAATCTGCATTCTTGTAATAGCTACGACGTTTACAGTTTACTACAAAATAAGGACAATGATCATAAATGGTAAAACAAATGGTAAATCTTGTCTTGAAACGTAATCTCGTTCTAACCCCTACAATAAATAGATTTTTTAAATGCAAATGTCCACTCCATCGGAAAAATCACTTACAACGTCGTTCGAAACTTCACCACCTTACCACCAAGATTCTGCCAAGAGCCGTCTCTTCTTGTGGTAATAGTGCATTCCGAGCCCTCCAGTTCGGAATCTAGAATCACCATTCGGAGAACCTGGAAGCAGGAAGACCGAAATGTGTATTTTTTACTTGGTCAGACCCAAAATAAGATCCTCCAGGTATGAAAGTAGCGCTCGTCGTCCTTCATCTAACTTCTGCTTCCGTTAGGCGCAAATTTCTTCAGAAAAAGAAATTTATGGGGACATAATCCAAGCAAGTTTCGTCGATAGTAACGCAAACCGTACCTTAAAGTCAATGGTGATGTTACAAATAGCTTCCTTTTGCCGGAATTATATGTATATTTTGAAAAGTGATGACGATAGTTTGGTCAGCATCAACAACATCAATGAAGTGTTGTCAGTGAAAAAGTACCCCACGGAACTGCTAATGGGTTACTTGGTTTGCGACGGAGTTCAAGGGTCTAATAGGCGATGGTGGAAGCCACATCATGTATATCCTGAGGAGATCGACCCATGGTATCTAACGGGAGGTGTCTACTTGATGTCAGTCTCAGTAGCGCGAAAGTTGTACCGAGTCGCCTTATCAACACCCATTTATGATATAAAAGATGCTTTTATAACAGGAATATGTGCCCATAAAGCTAGTGTTAAGAAAGAACACAGTGAATTGTTTAGTAGGAAGCATGTTCTAAAGAAAGCGTGTCTTTTGCGACGCGTCTGTGCAGTTTTTGGCCTCACTATTGAAGAAATGAGGAAGCATTATGCCGTATTGAAGGTCTACTATCGTATGGGTGCAATATGTTCCCAGCCAAAACCTTTCTCAACCGTTAAATGGTTCCTACACACCGTTTTCATGTTCACCAGTTCACCTTACAGTTACCGACAGACATGCAAATGAGTTTTCTCTCCTGTTGCATAGAAAAATATTCAAAAACGGAAAACAAATAAAAAGGTTAATGAATCCCGTCCCAGATTAAACCTGCAACCGTTGCCAAAACTCCATCAACAAAACGTTTACATATACTTTGTCTGGCGCTTGTCGCAACCCATTTGTCTCGGACACACCTATTGTCATTTCGATTTCTTCTGGTCGTAGGCGGCCACGTCACCCTGCCAACTGGATTGATCTTAAACTGGTCGAATTATGCAATTCGTGATCTTCGGTCTAAAAATAGCGCGCTTTTTGTGCAGATGTGCTGCGGAAACGTTGTAAAAAATTCGTATGCAAGATGTCTAACATCCTGCAGACCGGTTTCTATATAAGGAAGAGATATTCGCGGGGAATAAGGACAAGTCGTGGCACGAGTAACTGCATTCGCGGGCGTACTTCCAATTTTACTTGTTACAAAGCTGAAAAATGAATGTTTGGGTTATGTAAATGTAGCGAGAGTCGAGAAAGCTGGAGGATGCGTGGCACACGATGCGCTTTCTATGAGGAAGATGTGTGGAGTTGACGAATTTGAGATAAGGGGTTCAACCACGATTTTTCCTCGATCACTGCGGGAAGTCCAGAATAGGCGAGGTCCGGGGCCTTGCAGCGTCGATTTTCTCCAAAAAACCCGTTGCATCGTTGGTGGTGATTTACGGCCTGCGTGCCCGTGCGCATAGCGTGCCAAATCCGAATAAATAAATAAGGAAATAAAAACAATACGAGTTGTGCGTTCTTAGCAACGTGCTTGTGTGGAAAATCGTCACCACGCCTTTTAAATAATTTAGAGCAAGGTCTTGCCTTCCCACATGTGCAATGATATCCGGCAAATCCAATAGGCAAAATCGCTTAAACCGGTTGCTATCATCGTAATTAAAAATGGTAAGTTTTGTCATCACGCTACTATCGGTTTTTGGTTGGTACTTGACCGTAATTCCCGATGGGTCATTATTGCTTGCACAACAAGACATGAGGGTATTTATAATAAGCGACCTTTATTTTTTATTCATGGTAATGGGGATTTGCTCACTATGCTAATTTCGGTTTAAAAATGGCGATTAAGATGGCAGTGTTGTTGTGAACTTTTACTTGTGCGTAATTATTTTCGTCACTTCGTGGTTTACCTAATGAATTGACGGCGAGGAGTGACGGCTCACGTTTGGTGGGTTTTGCGCTGATATGATGGTAATTAATGATAATCTCGTCGAACATTGGCATCGTAAAATTAAGGTTAAGTAGTGGTTTTATGTTTGAGCATTTTTAAAGAGAAAAGATAGGAGATGTAATCCTACTCGAAATTTAAACGTAATTAGTTTCACAAACAGGGTAATTAGTGAGATGAGAGGAAAACTTAGCTTGGAGAGGTTACATAAAGTGCTAAAATTAGGCTCTTTGAAATAACTGGCTTCTGGTCTTGGATTTTGGTGAGAACTACCTTGTGTTGTTGTGTTACTGCGTTACTTTTACTAAGTCGCGGATTTTATTTAAATATGCATACAAAATATACCTTCTAAAAGACAGTGTTCTACTTTTTTTTTCCGAAATTTTTTGCTGTTTCTGTATTTGCCTACATTTTTCCACGCAACGCTTTATTGAGCCTTCTAATTTTAAGACCATGTAATCATCCGAAAGTTTATGGCTTAGAAACCATAAGCTTTGTGATTGTTATTGCAAGATGCATTACTAACCCAGTTTTAAATTTAGAGCGCTGCAAACGTTGAAGGATTAGCGAGAGTAAAGAAAGTTACTCATAGAAACGATTTTTAACCAGGAAATAAAATAATAAAATAGACCGTCATAATTATTGTAGTACCGATTCTGACATATGCAAGAGGTAATTTGTCTTCCAGTTTAATCAGAATTGCAAAAGAGCGATTGAGTATGCAGCGCATTTAAAATTATAATTTGCGTTTTGTGTGGTTTATTTAGGGATGATTGCAAATTTATGACTCGTGTGCAAGTGGTTTCCTTCGATTGTTGGCAAAAGTACTGTATGCAAAACGCGGAGAAAGTATTTTGTCACATTCTTGGTGCCCATGGATACACACAATTACTGATGTACTAATTTCCAAATATTGCAAATTCTGGAAGCTCTACACAATATGATATAGGAAGTCTTCGATTTGTTATATTTTAAATGTTTCCACTTTCAACATTTTTAAAATTTCAAAATTTTTGACTTTGTATTTCTATAAAAATACGAATTATGTTTTAATTTTCAGATTTTTAAAATAAGGTTTACATATTTCTCGTACTATTACACGATGACAAGCAAAAGAACTTCATTCTCTACCACCTATATTCCTCCAATTTTTTTTGTCAACAATTTTACATTTTTTCTTTTTATTTATTTATTTAATCCGTTGCATATTAATATAAGATAAACACGTATTCGAGTCTTACCAATAGATCGATAGAAATTAAGAAAAATCAAAATTGAATCCTCGCTACAATTTTTAGGTTTCAAAAATTTTTATAAATTGAGTACAAGAACTGCGAAATATATATTATACGGTTGTTTATGAGCAAAAATTTAACGCTTTCGAAGCAGCACATTTTTTTTTTTTTGAAGTGAAGATTTTCCATTTTTACTACCCGAGCGTAATCCAAGGAAGTATTATAATAAGATCCTTTTGGCAAATGGCTAGTTTCATGTTTTCTCTACATTGTCGCTACCGTAAAATACCGCGTGGTAAATGCTATTTAAATTTTATAAAATAACATACTCCTGTACTCGTGGTTTATGAATCCGGTTTGACTTTTTTACCTTGACCATACCGATTTTCGCAAAAAAAACCGTTCAACAAGCGATGTACTCAAGAGGGTTAAGTGCATGCTAATAACGCGAAGGTGTCAGGTTTGATCCCCTATGAGCTAGTATCTTTTTTTCTTAAAAATTTAATTGTTTCTTAATTATTTTGAAGCAGATACTAAATTGTTGATGATTCTCCTTTTCCAATATTCTACAAGTATTGTCAATACATCTTCTGAATGTAATATCTCCATTATTAACAGACCTATTGCTTTGAAATTTTAAATAAGTATAATCTGACCATAACTTTCCTATAGGGCAGTTTTTTAAGGTTATCGACATCTTTTTACTGCCCGAGCGTAAGTTAAGGAAGTATTGTAATCGAGTCCATCGGGCGACAAGCAATTTCATGTTTTGTCCAAGTTTCATGACCAGAGTTAGGCACAACGGAGGTGATGGGGAATCAATCAGGGTTTATCTAATTAAGATCATCACGAAAATTGAGATGTTGAACAGTCATTTTTAATTTTTAAAGCATTTTACAGAGTTCAGATTCGTTAGCCTTTTTAGCTATGTGGACATGATTTGGCAAATCTTTGCTTTTTTCGTAGATATTATTTAGCTATTCAGTACTAAATTTTGAAAAGCTCTGGCTTTTTCGTACTTTTCTGGAATAAATCATGAATTTTAAGTTCGTCAAGGATTACTTACGCGAAGTTGAAGCGTGAAAGGAAGGAAATGGACACAAAAATAAATTCAAACAAATCGACACTAACGTTTTAGAAAGTAATTTAAAAATTGCACAAGATCAATATAAAGATCAAGTGAATATTAACAAAAAACTGTGTGCTAAAGGCAATAAATTATTGGCTGATACCTTGAAAGCAAAATACCTAACTAGTGCGGCTGTAGCACGAACGATTTTACAGAGCGCAAGCGATTACCGTCTAAAAGAGGAAAATCTTAAAAATAAATGTTGTAAAATAGAAAAGTCCATCCCAAAAAGAAAGGGTGATTTAATTAATTTTTTATGCAAAAGAAGATAACTTTTTTAAAATTAAAATTAATATTTACAAAAATTTATAATACATATGTACTTACTTTGCAGAGTCTAATGTTTATTTTGTTATAGTTTTATACATTTTTAATAATTAAAATTGCCAGAAGACTCGTAGCTTTTCTTTACCTTAGCGAAAAATAAGTAGTTATTTTAGGTACTTTTGATATTCATAACTGCTCTGAACCTTGATTTTAACATCTAGGAGAACTCGTATAACTGAGGAAAACCTAGAAAAAGTAATTGTTATTAAGAATTCCCGAAGTTGTAGGCCACGACTGCAATAGCGCAGGCGATCGGACGGCAGTGTGCATCACTTCCACGATGCCGAAATTTGGTTATTAGGCAGACAATTTCC